AGTATGAAGTCAAAGCCATTGACTATTTCAGTATTTCTTCGTAACTTCAGGGAGACCACATTTTCTAGTAACATCGCATAATGGGCTAGATTTGCATAAGTAGCTTATTGTTTAAATTTTTAGAGAAATATTTAAAAAAAAATTCCATGTTTGGTTGAACAACTATTAGAAGTGTTTTTAATATTAGAGGTCATGTAAAATGACTAAAAATTTCTAAAACTATGAATAAAATTTCTAAAAAATAAAAGTTGTCAAAATGGATCTTGTTAGATTTTTTTTATATTCAATAATAATAAATCTTAACTTATTTTATTTTTAAAATTATATAAATGAAGGAAAATTATATTTTCTGAAATAAATATAAAATATGGTAAGGATAATCTTGTATTTTCAAAACAGTTTTTCGTAGAAGCTCCGGTTCGGAGCTTCTGCTTTTATGTTATACAAAAACACTTTTAAGCTTTTTAAAAGCCGAGCTTTTAGAGGTGTTTGACCATGTCGAAACTTTTAAAGCGTAAAAACACTTCTAAAAGCCGAGCCAAACATATGTAATAACTGCGGAAAGTCTCTGAGGGATTCTTGTGCACACAGTTCATCCGAGCTCGTTAGCATGACGTGTTCATGACAGTATCGGTTGATCGTATTAGTTTGATTCAACCATGCAAATCACATCAATAATCCCATTACAAACCTCAATTACACATTGATCATACCTCTTCGATCCACATGATGATTGGATTTCACTGTTGTCAACACCAAATAAATGTCATATCAAACCGTCATGTTCAACCAAACCAAGTCAATAATTGAGAAATGGGCTAATCATCTATTGGTCTACAGCCAGCCAGTGAGGTTAGAACAGTGGGCTGGACTGGACTGGACTGGGCTGGGGCTGCTCTTCTTCCCAGCCAGGAAATAAATTCTGTTGTAACAGATAATCTGTACTATTTAGTATTTCCCCAATATTCATATACAATTTTTATGGTACACTCATATGGTATTTTGTACAGAAGAATATGGTTGTTTATACATTAAAAAAATACCAAGAAGATAATAATAATAATTACAACTAATTGTGCCGCCCACACTTATAAATGGGGAGTAGTTCGCCATTAATACAGCCCTGTTTTCCTCCTTCTCTGAGAGAGAGCTCTGTTTCTGTCATTCTGTGGACTAACCGATCGGCAATAAGGCAATAATGTGAGCATGCAGCACGTCGACTGAGTTAATGCAGAGAGAGAGAGATGCTGCTGATAATATTAATGGAGGACAGAAGAGACAAAAGTAAAGGAAGCACTGAATGATTGAAAAGATTGATGGAATTCTTTCAAACTAAAATTAGCCCACTGACAGCAGAGGAAGAAGAAGAAGAAGCAGAGATATAAAAGAAAATTCCAAGGCAGAGGAGGAGTCCACATGCATGCTTTGAGACTAATGGTCTTCATTTCAAATTCTTTTTTCCCCCCAGTCTTCTGCTGCAGCTAAGCTAAGCTCTAAGGCTATAATGATGCTTTTTGAGCTTAAACATGTGGTCATGTGCTTTGCTTCCATTTTGTTAAATTAATCTCTCTGTTTCTCCTTCACATTTCTGCAATTTTTGCGCTTGAAAGCTCATGATAGAATTGGGGGGAAAGTGGGCGGCGGTCGTCGCTGGTGTTGGGGCGGCGACCTATAGGTAGATAGATAGGATGCTTTAGTGAGATTCCACCAGGTATGACTGAGACTAATGATTCTGGTGTTTTATTGGGGAGATTACTTTGTTTAAAGATTAATTGCACTTGATGGCACATTTTGTTTATCAATGATAACTCTTACATTGTTATATCGGATAATAATTTAGTGCAAGCTACCCATTTGACACTCTTAATAATTGAAGGATAAGAATATCTCGTCTCTGATCGATCAGACGATTCTCGTTGCAAAGAATGATAAATGTAGAGAACTACGACCCCTTGTTCTCCAAGTCGGAAAATTTGCACCCGAGAGAAGCAAATAATTAAATCTGAGTCTGACCAAGACGCAGAATTTCATACCCCTAAATTTTATTCTCTAACAAAATCGAATATCCTCGAATTACTACATTCCCAACACATTAAACAACAATCTTGAGTAAGTTTTGCACTCCAACTTCTTCAAAAGTTGTCTTGGTATGAGAGAATGTGTGTCCAAAATTCCAAACCATCCACATTGCTTAGTTCCCAAATCCCAACCCACATCCATCACACACACTTTGATGAACTCCTTCATATAAAGCAGTTGTGGTCCTTGCTTCCCAATTTCCATACTTTCAACAGCTGTTTTGGCGATCCCCATAATTGGCAAGCAAAAAGAGGAAGAGAAAAGCAGGCTGCAGAATGAGACTCCCTTCCTCCATAATTAACATTATTGGGTTTAGATTAGTTTAAGATCCTGAGATGGATTCCTACCTTGGTTCCCCCCAATAATTCTGCAGCGTTAGATTAGATACAAAAACAGAGCCAATGAGGGAAAAGGAATTGGGTCAACGTGATGGAAAAGGGGGAAAAGGAATTAACAATTAGCCAGAGAAAGGGACACAATCCCAAGGATCAAGGAGGAAAAGTCAACCATTAGTAACCAAATAATTCCTCATTTCCTGCGAGGAGGTTTTGGGTTTTGTTTGCATTAGCAACCGAAGGAGGCACGGTTGCTAAATTTGATGCCACCTTGTCCTTTGTTCCATTTCCATCAAACTACCATTCCTCTGTTTTTCTTCAACTCTGTTTTTTCTACACCAATCACAAGCTCTCTCTGGCTTCTTCTTATTCCTCTTCTTCTTCTTCTTCCAACCTACTCCATTGGGTATTGTCTTTAACCAACTCCCATTACCGTTCTTCCATAAATTAGGCACAAGTCAAACCTCAACTCAACCCCCACAACTTGTTGATTATTCAATGTGTTTTGGTGGTTAGAATGAGGCAATTCATATTTCCTTATTGTATGTGGAAATGATGCAATCTTGTCCTTATTTAGCTGAACATTCTGGTGGGTGGTGATGGCATTACTCTCCACACCTTGTATGATGTGTGCAACAAAAAAATTACGTATCTCGAAACAGTGTCAGGAATGGCTGAAACAGTGGAGAGGTTTAGAAGGTTAATATGTCGACCATATTAATAAGGGGTGATGAGGCGTTCATTTACCTATAATGTGTGCAGAAATGGTGTGATCTTGTCCTAATTTAGCTAAACATTATGTTGGATGGTGATGAAATTAATCTCCTTTGTGTATGGCTCATACAACAACAAACTAGGTATCTTGAAGCAACCTTAGGAATAAGTTGAAACCGGGGAGAAGTAGAAGCATAACATCTTGACCCGACCATATTAATAAGGTATATGATAGTTGTATGTAATCCATGTCAAGAATTTATCTGGATGAAATCCTCTGTCTATACTCTATAGGCTATTGCAAGGTTATGGCCCCTTGAAAGATTGACCACAACTCGATTCTAACAATGAGACCGAACCTTCTCAAGTTCTCGTAGATGCCCTCATAAGACAATATCCTCACTCCGGCATACCTTCAAATAAAGGGGAAATAATTTAATACACTAAGCCATCCAAGTTAATACAAACTTAATTCTTCTTCAACTTACAAAAAATAACAATTTCTCTCTCTAAAAAGACACGTCATCATTCCAATAAAATTCAGTTTTCCGCCGATTTTCATCCTATAGTAGTCATATGAAAGATTGTAATCGCAATCACTTATACACGTATATATCGATCTGCTATTTCTATTATCAAATACCCAATAGTTGTTCTCATAATTGGACAACACTATTATGGTGGAGACAATTAGGACCTTAAACAAGAATGACTTGTGGATATCACAAAACCAGCCAAACATCCTACTGTATCAACAAACCCTCTGTTCCATCACCAACAGAAGCAGTAGCAGCTGTCGTTTTGCTTGACTCGAATCAATTCTTTGCCAATTATGAGAAGAAAATGCATGAACATTGGCTTTGGCTCTATACATTAGTGCCACTGTTGGGCTGTGGCCGCCCCCTCTGTTTCTTATTAACTGCAAACAGGGGGACGGTCCTATTTGCAATTAATAATGTTCCAATTATCATTAGTTTTCGGTTGGATAAATGCTACCAAAAATTCAATTCCTCTCTTCCCCCTCCTGCCATTATGATCTTAGTCAACATCTCTCACCTCTTATGGGACAAAGCTTCCAAATTTTAGGGTTTTTCTTTCTTTATATAATTCTCCAATGTGAAGCACAACTTCCCAAGTCACCACATACCCTACACACAGCCAAAAACAAAACCCAAAATTTAAAATAATTTTCTAAGGTCTCTAATCCAATCCGTACCGGACCGCTCCGGATCAAACCGATTGCTGGATCAGATCACACCGAATCGAATATAATGTGGTTCATTCATTGCTTCCATAATTTTATAAAAACTGAAGTAAAATGGACCGAATTGACAATTCGTGCGAACCAAAGCTGGCCACACCATATCGAATGCATTGATGCTCCGGTCCTTGATCCTAATATTTCTATTTATTGGATTATGATTCTCATGATTTAGTCCGGTCCGATCCGAACTGAACCGTTGCACAACTCTGCCCTACACAACCAAAACGAAAACCAGAAATTAAATATTTATAATATTTTTGAAAATTTTGTAAGTTCTCTAATCCAATCCCAATGGTCCTCGTCCCTCCCTTCAAGCATGTTCTTGTGGGGATTATTTTATAGAAAAAAAATAAATAATAATTTCCAGCAATTAGGAAGTAAGCTGGAAGCTGATGTGATGAATTTCCCCTGTGATGGAGAAAGAAGGAGAAGAACAAGAAAACACATAAAATAAGGGCACTTGCATCCGTTACAAGGCTACATTAGCCCGCAAAATAATGAACCTTGCCCTTCAAACAAACCCCTCCCCACCATTGATTTCAAAGGGCCTAACTCTGTATTTAAAACTTGCATGTGAGAAAGGGACCTTGTTCCCTAAATAAAAAGCCGTAGCAAGTAGTAGAAGCAACCCCCTTCTCTCCAAGTTCTAACCCCCTTCAAGCCTTTCTGAAAGGAACCCACTTCAAATCAGAAAGAAAGATCCAAACTTTGTGCATCTCTCTCCCATTTTCTAACCCGCTCCCTTTTTTTGGGTTGTGTCCTAATCTGCCCAGTCTCTTTTGATGTGTGCAAAGCTTCCCCTGTTGTGATGCAATTATGTGAATGCAAGGTGGTGGTGTGACATGGAGAGGAGGAGAAGGGTTGGCATTGTTGGAGCTGGACCAAGTGGACTCCTAGCCTGCAAGTATGTCCTCGAGAAAGGGTTCGATCCGGTCGTGTTCGAGGCCGAGGGCGACGTGGGTGGGATCTGGTCACACACGATCGCATCCACGAGGCTTCAGAACAAGCGAAGTACGTACCGGTTCACAGATTTCCCCTGGCCCGAGTCGGTCAGCGACGTGCATCCACCACACAGTGAGGTTCTCGCATACATGAAGTCGTATGCTAGCCATTTCGGAATTTACCAACACATCAGGTTTTGGTCCAAGGTGGTTGGAATAGACTATGTTGGTGAGTCATTTGAGGAGATGAAGTCTTGGGTTGTTTGGGGTGGGAGTGGGAAGCCCTTTGGTTCATTGTCACCATCTAAAGGGAAGTGGCAGGTTAGAGTTCAGGATGTCAGGAATTCAAGTGTTGAGGTGAGTTTGAGTGAAGGAATTTTGATTTTTCTAAGCCAAATTTTGGTAAAAGTTGTGGTGGGTTTTTTTGCCAATCTGATTGATAAAGTTGTGAACTTTTTGTTGTTGTTGTTGTTTGGGCAGGTTCATGAAGTTGAATTTTTGATTCTTTGCATTGGGTTGTATAGTGGGTACCCAAACATCCCAGATTTCCCTCCAAATCAAGGCCCTGAGGTTTTCAAGGGCAAAGTGGTCCATTCATGGGACTACTCAACAATGGGTAGTGAGAAGGCAGCTGAGTTTGTGAAAGGGAAGAGAGTTGCCATTATTGGCTCTCAGAAGACTGCAATTGACATTGCTGCAGAATGTGCCAAGGCAAATGGTACAATTTTCACTATCTAGTCCTTCCTTTTTGTTTGTTTTCCTCATTTGCCCCCAACTAATTCCTTGGCCTACAAAACAGGACCTGAGTTTCCTTGCACAATGATCCAAAGAACAACTCACTGGACAATCCCAAGTGAGACTTTGCTAGGGATCAACATTGGGTTCTTGTACTTGAACCGCTTCTCAGAGTTCTTGATTCACAAGCCTGGTGAATCACTCCTTCTCAGCTTGTTAGCCACATTCCTCACACCACTGGTAATTTCCGTTTCTGTTACCACTTTGTGCGGCGTGTTTTGCTTCGTCCTACTTATTAATGTGACCACTTTTGCTTCAATTGTATTTGAGTCGTATATGTAATAAGTAAAAACTTATTAATGGGTTCGCTGCACTTGCATCGAGGAAAAAGAAAACGTAGGTGGAGCCAACTCTCTAAAGTGGACTTTAGTCTATCATCTTGTAACGTATATGTTGTATCATGTTTATTTTTGCGTATATGACCTTTATTAGGAAGCCGTTTCAGCAGGACAAAACATGTGAGACTCGACTTTCTAGAGCGCATTCAACATCTCGTAAATTATGTACATTTTAGAATACGTCATCTCAATGCGGATAAGATTTCATTTCACCCTATTAGTTAAAAGTTAAAACACAACCAAACCGGTCCAATCAATTTTTAAATTCCATGCTGAATTCTCTTCCTCTGTTTTCTGTTTGGTCAGAGATGGGGAATCTCCAAGATGATAGAGTTCTACCTGAGATGGAAGCTTCCACTGAAGAGACATGGGATGGTTCCAAAGCTCAGCTTCTTCCAGGACGTGTCCTCGTGCCACATCTGCATGTTGCCCGACAAGTTCTACGACAAGGTGGAAGAAGGAAGCATCGTCATCAAGAAATCCAAAACCATAAGATTCTGCGAGAATGGCGTCTTGATCGACGAAGAAGGTCAATCGGAGCCTGTCGTGGAAGCAGACGTGGTGATCCTGGCGACAGGTTACAGGGGCGACCATAAGCTCAGAGACATCTTCGATTCCCCTGCTCTGCAGAAAACCATCTCTGGGTCTTCTTCCATTGTCCCACTCTACAGGTCAGTCCTACAACTCCTTCCACCCAATGTTTGAGAACGTACAGACCGGTCGGACCAGAAATTACTAAAAACCGACCTCAAAACAATATGCGGTTTGAGCTGTAAGACACGGTTGGACCACTGTTTTATTACAAAACACCATACATCTGAATTTTCGGGTATAACCATCGCTACGGTTTCACAATTCTTGCAGTCCACCACAAAAAAAAAATTAGAAAAAAGTTTTATCATTGCTTATAGGAGGTGATTTCAAATGACTGAACGATAACATTTGTATCGACTAACATGTGCACTACTAAAGTCACATTGAAGTTTTGTTTGATGTTGTGGACAATCTCCTATATGTTCATCAACCAGTCTTATTCAATTAGACATTATAATTCGTTTTCAATAATGTTCTCATCCGCAAATTTACTCACGTCTAAGTTTTTCTGAACGTATTTTCTGATTGGTTTCTTGAAATGTTTTGTGTTCAGACAAGTGATCCATCCTCGGATCCCGCAGCTGGCAGTGATCGGCTACGCGGAGAGCCTATCGAGCCTGTACGCGACGGAGATCAGGTGCCAGTGGCTGGCGGAGTTTCTCGTGGGGAAATTCGAGCTTCCAAGTGTGAGCAAGATGGAGGAGGAAGTGAGCATTTGGGAGAGGTTCTTGAGGAGGCACAGTGGAGGGAAATCAAGGAGGGCATGTATAAGCAACATCCACATATGGAACAATGACCAGTTCTGTAAGGACATGGGGTTCCCTACTAGGAGGAAGAAAGGGTTCTTGAGGGACTTGTTTATGCCATATGGACCTAGTGATTACACTGGTCTTCTAGCTGACTGAAAAATTCATAAGGGTCCCTTTTTCCTCTACTAAAGGTTCAATCTTTTGGCATTTTAAAGGGGGGAAAGTGGTGATAAGAAAAGGAAAGATGTGTGTTATGTGTAAGTGTAAGTGTTTGGTGATTTTTTTGTACACATCAAATTGTACTTGTTTTTAGCTTCTTTGTTTTTTTTAATGTATAATAGGAGGAGATTAGTGTATGAGTGTATGAACCAATCCACCAAAAAGAAGAGAAATACCCAAGTGTTGGAAAGGGTTGATGCATTTTTTTTTTGGTCTTTTCCCTTTCTCTTGTCTTTCCCTTGTTTTTGTAAGTTTTTAAAGAGCCAAATAGATGTGGCCAATGTTTAGATTATTTAAGAATTAAGCTCACTTGTAATAGCATTTAAAAAATGAACAGTTTAAAAGTGATTTCTTGTATGTGATCTGCCTCAATTGAGATGCATGTAGTTGACGGTTTGAATTTAGTCATTTTAATCACTAAACTCATGTATTAATTTCTTGCTCCAGAGGGGATTCTAACTTTGTGAAAGCAGTTAATAGGATTAGCCTAATGCTCATTTTTTAGATAAGAGTAACATAAGATTGTTTTCATTATAAAATACCTCCTTGAGAAATTCAAACTTGAAATCTTCATTCGTAAAATAACACTCCCTCTTTAACTGACAATTATCCATTCTGTTTCTAATACATTACAGAGGTACGCCATACAAATAATACAATACAAGAACACAGCCAAACCAACCACACGTCCACACCCCTCACAGCTCCTACAAACCCAGTTGATGTTTCTTATTCTATTACTTTCTTCTTCTACTTTCTGTCTCCGGGGGTAATTTTTCATTATTTAGACAGATACTTTCACATATCATACAGAAGCAAGCCACCAAGCCAGAGCCTCTCCCTGCAAAAGCACGAGAAGAACCCACTTGCAGTGGTCTGTTGCCAATTTACTTACCCTGCAGCAGCACAAAAGAAAAGTTAGAACATTGTTAAACTACCCATCTGATTCCCTTCCTCCATGAAAGTCTGCATCTTTTCAAACATCAAATGCTTACCAAGAACCGTTTGCTGTAGACCTCCACGACCTGTGCCTTTGTACCTTCCAGTTTCGTCTGTTTGTAAGCCTCCAGTTTGTTCAACTCCTGCAAGGGCAATTAGGATTGTAAGGCGCCGGTTAAGGCGCAGCTCAGGCTGCAGTGCTGGAACTTTGATTTTGCCTCATACCTCGATCCAAGCTGCAAGTTTTTGCCTTCCTTCGGTGATATCATACTTGAACACTTCCGAAAGGAAGATCTGAAACCTCTCGACAAATGGAATGTAGGCAATGTCCACCTGGAGAGACACAAGAAAAACAATTTGATAACTAACGAACACATGTTATGGCTTCTTGGACGATTAGCGGAAAATGCATCATCCTCCAACTTACCTGACTGAACCTATCACCAAGGAAGAAAGGTCCATCGTCGAATTTCGACAGAGCTGCTTCCAGATGATCAAAAGCAGGGGCTGAAACAATGTCGCGACACATTTAGATCTAATCAAACTTGTCAATCACTACCGAATCGAGGAAAATCATGTAATGGAAACACATACCAACTTCCTTCACTGCATCTCCCTTGAAAGCAGAGAACACCGTTCCAGTAAAAGTATCGGTGTATGCAAACAACTCTTCTGCCAACTGCTTCTTCGCAGGATCCTGCACAGATTCGGTTCGGGTGTGGCTAAATTGAAACTGGAAGGTTCATACAAACACAGTGGATTTAAGGTTTTACCAATAAGCACAATCAATCTTACATCAGGGAGAAGAGAAGGCCCTTCAAAGTTGCTATCTAAGTACTTGATCAAATCCAAGCTCTCTCCTATGATCTTGCCATTGTGCTCAAGTGCTGGCACCTGGCGAGCCGAGTATTAAGTCAAACAAACAAACAAACAAACAAACAAACAAACAAACAGGTGCAATGGTAATCCATGTATTGGTTGTTGGTACTGAGATTTTCTCAATGTTCATTCAGAGAGAACAAGTTTTGCACCTTATTAGGGGGATAAACTTTCTCGGCGTACCAAGCAGGCCTGTTACTAAGATCTATGCCGACTAGCTTGATCTTGTCTTGTAACCCCTGCATCCCACCAAAACCCGCACCCAGCAAATTAAGATCGACCCATTTGATTCAGATTATTGCCCATTGGAAAGGGGGAAACGAAAAATGAGAGCTACCCACCTTGAAATTCCTAGTGATCCAAACCCTCTGAGCAAAAGGGCATCCGTAATAGGTGTACAGCCTTGAATCAAGAATCAATTTCAGCATTTTAGAACTGACCTAAAATGGGCTCCGAGAAAAAAAAAGGTAAAGTGAGGGTTTTTCGAACCTGGTGACGCCATCGAAGAGTGGAGGTGGCTCCGACGAAGCATCGAGCGCCGGCGGCAAGATCTCGGGCACGGATTTATCCAGACTGTTCTCAAATCCCAAACACAAACAACCCAGAACCCAATTCAGATTGATCGAGCTCTAACGAACAGTGCCGAACTGTAAGTAAAAAAATGGGGGGAATTCGACTTCTTACGCTGTGGCTGCCATTGTCGATTAGCTTGATTTGAGACGTTAGCTGGCTTTTACGAGTCTCCAGATGATTCGGTAGTGTAATGTGGGTTGATGCAGAGAGATATATAAAGAGAACGGGGAAAGGGTGAGCAGATTCAGTGAATGTACTGAAGAACAGTACAGAGTAGAAAACGGTGCTTATTATCCCAACTTGCTTGACACTATCCATAATTTCCATGGGACATGAGAGAAGCAGTGACGACATAGCAATGGAGATGCGGCATTTGGTGGGGACGAATCGTGGCGGAAATCGTATAGAGCCGGGATTCTGGACTAGGGGGCGCCAAAAAAATTTCTTTTATTTTGTTTCCAAATTCCAATACTCATGTACTTATCAATTTGATAATTCAGAAAGAAAATTGTTGTCATAATTCAAAATTTTAGATGAAACCTAGCACTAAAATATAGTAATCAAGATTTGACCATTTTATAAATAGAACCGTGATAATTTTTTGAATTAATTAACTTACAAAGACAGGGTAATCAACACTAAACAAGTGATTTCAAAGAAGATAAATTATGAGGAAAATAAGAATTATGCTACAAACGAACTTGCACAGAAATGGGGATTTTTTTAAAAGAAAAAACATGCAGAAAACGCTAATAAGTGATAATTAACAAAAATATGTATGCATATTGGAATTTAGGTCCCAACATAAAAGGAAAAATTGGGTCTTCCTCGGTTATTAATTCAATGTTTGGTTTGTCTAACCAAACAAATGGTCTCAACATGATATGCATGATCCGCACTATAAGCACAAGCATGACCTGATTTAGATCGTATAGAATTTGATCGAACTCCTGACCAGTGATTCAACCCCACCGTCCGAATAGTAAACTGTATATGTGGTATCTTTCTTGTTTGGGTTGGTGGCAATGGTCAATGAAAATTGACATAATGAAAATTCAAAGTTGCTCAAAAAAACTTTCTTGTAGCGTTCCGAACTTCCTATCACACATGCCTTGCCAATGAAAATTGCTGCAAATTCTTGGTTGCTGTCCATAATGCCCCTACCATAGCTAAAGATGTACAACACAGATTCGAATCCACCAAAACAGATCATTATCATCATCTTCTAAAATGCGAGGGAATAAGGGGTCGTTTGGATGGATCATTTCCAAAATGAGACAATTTGACTCAAATGTCTCATTTTAGAAAATGAGGTAATTGTATGAGAAATTTGTACACAATTGTCTTGTTTGACTAGTTATTTGACATGAGACAATTGGAATGATGTATTTTCTCAAAGTACATGTTTGCCCTCATTATTTTACCCTTCTCCGACTTCCTCTCTTACTCGTCCTGAACAGAAATTTCCAGAACAAGAAAGAAATCCGACCAACTTGACGAGGAAGAAGGAATCCAACCCCGCCCGACTTGAAGAGGAAGATGGAATCCGACCGCCATCTCTATCGCACCGCCTCGTCTGTAGTCACCACCGTTGTTGGAAGAAGGAAGAAAAAACCAATTACAACTTCTTCTCCTTCTCTTAGATGCCCACACACAAAAAACCAAACCCCATGATTGACCATCCAAAGAACCCATAAATCAAACTCTTAAACCTCTTATTTAAACAATCAGATTTCCCCTAAATCAAACAATCAAAAACCCCCTACGAAACCCAGGTCAAGCCACAAATTGCTAACATGCAAAACTCCTTCCTCTACCCCAACGCACCCAGATTGTCCACGTTCACCTTCCAATTTCACCGGCGGCAATGTTTGGCAATGAATTTCTCCCTTCTCCACCGGTCATTGGAATTGCATTGCAGCACCATCGTTAGTGTCCTCTGCATCTGCATCACCGTCGCCATCATTAGAGCGCCATCAGCTCACGGATCGAGCGATTCGGGTGAGTGAAGCAGCATCAGAGATCTTCCCAAAAAAAGAAAGAGAGAAGATAAGTGATCTGTTCGTCGATGCAAAAAAAAAAAGGAAGAAAGAAGACCCGAGACCGAGAGAGAGGAAAGAGGAGAAGAGGAAAGGTTGTTACAGAGAGGAGAGAGGCAGAAAGAAGCGAAGGTCTCAATTGGAAAGGGGTGGCCAAAAACGCGTCAAAGCAGATTGTCTGCCCCCACCCAGGTTTTTCAAATTGACCCATAACGAAGCAATTGCAATTACCCCGGCCCAAATTGTTTCGTTTTACTTTTGTGCTGCCAAATGGGTCAATTTGGCCCAATTGTCTCATTTTGAGTCAATTTGAACAAATTAACCCATCACAATGTTCCATCCAAACGGTTCTGGTTCAAATTCAGGTTCGGATATGGGCGGTGTTCTGACGAAATCAGCAAAGTCGTATTCTACTGTTCTCTGGTGGAGTGTCGGCGGATAAGCATATCTCCTTTCTATGGTGCCGGCTGAGTACATAATCTCTACGAAGCCACTGCATCTAGTCAGTCTCAAATGCATCAAGGTTCTGGTCACGATGTTCAGCCGCCCACCGGGGCACGGCTGTATACGGCCGTCCGGCGTCCCATAAATACGATCGCCGATGATGCTGCAGTCTTCCAAGGTCAACTCCTCGAGACTCTTGAAACCAGGGATAAGCTCCCACAGGAACATTGCCTCAATCAACCGCCCCTTTTGCACCGCTAGGGATCTCAGACACCTGATTGATTATATCAGAAGCAATAAAAGGGAAAAAATCCCACTGTACACATGTTTTTAAAAAAAAATTCTCAAAATACACATGTTATGAAAAAAATTCCCAATCTACGCATGTTTGGGCCTTCACCGCGTCAGACTAAGGCGGTGATTGCTTCACCGCGTTAGAGAAACACGGTGATTGCATCACCGCGTTAGAGAAACACGGTGATTGCATCACCGCTGTGGACAAACACGGTGATAGCTTCACCGCATTCAACTGCCGCGGTGAAGGCCTGACCTGCGTCAAATCTTTAAAAAAACGTAACTTTGTGCTCTGTTATCCGATCGTGATGAATTTTTTTTTGATTCCGCATAATTTTTCGAGATCTTGCAAGCCGCAAACCGCCCCGCCTTCGTCCCGAAAAAACGTCGTTTGCTACCCCGAACGAGCCTTTTTTCGATTTCGTCAAACTTTGAACGACCATAACTTTGTGCTCCACAATCCGAAAATCATGAATTTTTTTTTATTTTGCATAACTTTTTGAGGACTACAATTTTTAGTAGGAGAGAATTTTCAAAAAATGAATTATTTTGCATAACTTTTTGAGGACTACAATTCTCAGGAATCCAAGTACATTCCGAAATTATAACCAATATAAAAATTGTAGTCCTCAAAAATTTATGCAAAATCAAAAAAAAATTCATGATTTTCGGATTGTGGAGCACAAAGTTATGGCCGTTCAAAGTTTGACGAAATCGAAAAAAGGCTCGTTCGGGGTAGCAAACGACGTTTTTTCGGGACAAAGGCGGGACCAGCTTGCAAGATCTCGAAAAATTATGCGGAATCAAAAAAAATTTCACCACGATCGGATAACCGAGCACAAAGTTACGTTTTTTTAAAGATTTGACGCAGGTCAGGCCTTCACTGTTTTCCTCTAACACGGTGATGCAATCACCGCCTTCCTCTACAGCGGTGATGCAATCACCGTGTTTCTCTAACGCGGTGAAGCAATCACCGCATTAGTCTGACGCGGTGAAGGCCCAAACATGCATAGATTGGGAAATATTTTCATAACGTGTGCATTTTGAGAATTTTTTTTCAAAACATGTGTACAGTGGGAAATTTTCCCAATAAAAGAGAGTTTTAGACTTTTAGTTAGGCAACCAGCGCGCATTAGAAACGAATCAAAATTAGGGTTTCGACACAACGGTGGTTCAATTGAATTGATACTTACATAAAACTGTTGCCTGGGCTGGCGAATTGGAATCTGAGGATGTCCATGTCGTAGTTCCGTAATGTCAATTGTTTGAGAAGCTCCTTCCGCCTTCTTCCCGACAAAAGACTGCTCAGGGAGAGGCCTCCGTGCAGCTGCTGTGGCTGCGGGCGGGTTAGAAACGACACGGCTTTGGAGCGGCAGCAGGTGCAGGCGCCGTCCACCAATGGCGCCGTGGTTTTGGATCTGTCCTTGTTGAATTCGATCCATCCGCAATTGGGATCCTCCGGGTCAAAATTCAGCCCCAGAGAGTCGATGGAGAATTCGGTACGGCGGTATCGCAGCCGGGTGCGGGCCGGGCGGAGAGGGAAGGGCTCTCGCCGGCGGATGACCTGGTCGACCCAGCTCAGGAATTCACCCACGGTGTCGAAGCACGAGATTGGGTAACCGTCGGGCATGAACTTGGTGATGCCAGTGCCGGCGAAGTGGCTGTTCGGCAATGCCGGCGACCTCCACTGACTCCGCCATCGGCGGCAGAGGACGCTGGTCCTCGCCGCCTCGTCAAGCGGCAGCGCGGTGGCTATCTTGCCCAGTAGCTCCGCCGGCAATTTGCCAAAGTAAGGATCTCCGTCCATTCTCAATTCTCTAAAATTGTTATTAGCTTGAAACACAGATCGTGAATTCGAGATGTTGTCTCCCTCCCCTGTTCAACACTCGTTCATATTTACAGATAGAACTTGAACTTGGAAGCAGGTTCGGACTTCGGAGTCGGAGTCGGAATCTGTAATCCCAAAGGAGAAGGAAAAGAAAAAACAGAAGAAAGAAACAAGTCAAACCCAAACCTCAGAGCCCGTCTCCCCCAACTCCATTCTTCTGGGCTCTGGCCCATCTCGTAGCCCAAACCTATAGTTTACTTGTCAAACGATCCAACAAATAGTAGCTTATAACCGATTCGTTGGTCGGAGGAGTTGAGACGAATATTGAATTATTAATATGAACGTATCAATGCTCTTCATTCATGTATGCTGTGAGGGCAACATCTCATTAGTAACTTGTCATTAGTTGGTAATGGAATAGGGAATAGTGATATGAATTTGTTTCGGCGTTTAGGATAACAAAGAAAGCTGCAGAAATAAGACCTACTTCGATTTAATTAAACTTAACAAGAAGAAAACATACTATCTAGGGTAATGTCTATTTTTTTATCCAAATGACCAAATCTTTTTCAGATTCTTTTATATTATCCAAACCTATTAAAATGCTATTAATTAGCCAAATCTTTTGTAATGCATCAAAATATTAGCCATTTTTACGGTATTGTTAATAATTATGTAACACTTTTCTTAGTTAAAATACTAAAATTTTGGAATGTTGACATTCATGTGTCTCTTCCAAGTCAGTATCATGTTGCCAAGTCAATATTACTAACAAAATTGCTAACTGGAAGTAACATTTGGCTAATTCTTAGTATTTCGATAGGTTTGGATAATATAAAAGAATCCGAAAAAGGTTTGGATAAAAAATAGACATTACCCTACTATCTATGTGCTTCTGGTTTGTTTTATCTTTCCACCATAGTGAGCATTCGCAAGAAAAAAGAGAATGTCAATAAAACTGAGGAACGTTGTGGACCAATGGTGCTATAGCATCGTGTTTTTTTTTTTGAGTGATCAGAAGCTATGACAAACACATACAATCTTTGACAATAACAATAACAACATCAATGTTGTCAATACTTCCGTGTAGTGATGGCCTAGGTGGGGTCCAAGGGTGGTCAGAAATTGGAAAGAGGAATGCACACTCTGGATAGCAGCCTGTGCTAAAAAATAAAGCAGTGAAAATGGTAAAACTAGGGCAATGTCTATTTTTTACCCAAACCTTTTTCAGATTCTTTTATTTTAACCAAACCTATTGAATTCCTAAAAATTATCCAAACGTTAACTCTCCGTCAACTTTTCTGTTAGTAATGCTGACTAAGTATGACCATAATGAGTTGACTTCCTACGTGACGGTCATAATACCATCATTTACTATTTTTAATAAAAAGATTATCAAAAAACAAAACAAAATCCCACCCCTCACGTGGACGAAATAAGTAACGGTAACAGAATGAATGCCCAGACTTTGATAAATTATAATACGTTTGGATAATAAATAGAATTTCTATAAGTTTGGTTAAAATAAAAGAATTTGAAAAAGGTTTGGGTAAAAAATAGACATTGCCCAAACTAATATACATGACTTTTTCTTCATTCAAATAAATCTTGTCATAACTAATAAATAATTGCAATGTAAAAAATAGGATGAACTCTAATCATTACAACATCCAAATAAAGAATTTCATCAACTGCCCCAAGCTTTCACTTGTCTATTCTCTAGTATATTAATTTTTTAATGGAACTGTATAAGTACTACGTAGAGGATATATTCATAACAACATAAATTACATCCATTGTTCTTTAGATCAACACCAGTTCCACTGAATGTAGCTACCTAAGTTGACCTGAAAAATAAGCAAAAATGTCCACAACCCGGTAAGAAAAAGCTGCATGCAGACTTAAAGATCTCTATGCACAACCCACACCACAGGAATTAGTAGCAAAAAGATTTGCAAACCCAAAAGAGAACTGAAATTTTTCTAGTTCTTGGAATTAACATCATGCAAAAGACACCCACATAAACAGATGCAAGTTTTTCTTGTTGAAAGTTGAAGCACCCAAAAATTGATTACGAAAACATTAGACATTGATATGATATAAGTTAAAGGTTGATGGCATTCCAATTTCCTCTTCAAACCCTCAAAATTTTGCATATAAGAAAAGCAACCTTAGCATATACATCTAAATGACAACTAAAAATAAGAAAACCACTTGTACAGGAGCGAAAGGGATAAGCTCGAGGAAAGGGTTTTCTTCAAAGAGCAGGCTATGCATATTTCTGTAATTCAAAGAGGAGCGGCTTCATACCAGTAAACTACATGAATGTCAATCAGCTAAATCAACTCCACTAGAATAGTAATCAAGTAATCAAACTATGCATTGTGTCAAATGATATAATGTTCATACTATTTCTAAGCAAAACAATAGATAACAGTCGGAAAATAATAATATTGCACTCACCGAGAGTTATTATAACCTACTTCTATATGAACAACTAAACCGAAGACTTTAAAGAAGGCAGAAGAACCCTAAATTTAACTACAATCAAACACAAATCAGCAAGATTTTCGATTTTTTTGAGAGCCAACTACACAGAGAGAAAAATTGAAGTATATCTAAAATGCTCCAAGCAAGTTGAAGGCAAACCATAACGGTAAGATATTCATAATAGCCTTCAACTATTGATGCAGGGGCTGGCGAATTGGAACTTGAAGATGTCCATGTCGCAGTTCCGCAGGGTCAAGTATTTGAGAAGCTCCTGCCGCCTTCTTCCCGACAAAAGACTGCTCAGGGAGAGTCCTCCGTGCGGCGGGCGGCTTAGAAAGGATACGACTTTGGAGCGGCAGCAGATGCAGGCGCCGTCCACCAATGGCGCCGTGGTTTTGGATCTGTCCTTATTGAATTCGATCCATCCGCAATGGGGATCCTCTGGTTCAAAATTCAGCCCTAGAGAGTCGATGGAGAACTCGGTACGGCGGTTTCGCAACCGGGTGCGGGCTGGGCGGAGAGGGAAGAGCTCTCGCCGACGGATAACCTGGTCGACCCAGCTCAGGAATTCACCCACGGTGTCGAAGCACGAGATTGGATAATCGTCGGGCATGAACTTGGTGATGCCGTTGCCGGCGAAGTGGCTGTACGGCAACGCCGGCGACCTCCACTGACTCTGCCATCGGCGGGTGAGGACGCTGGTCCTCGCCGCCTCGTCAAGCAGCAGCGCGATGGCTATCTTGCCCAGTAGCTCCGCCGGCAATTTGCCAAAGTAAGGATCTTCGTCCATTCTTATTCTTTAATAATAAATAATTACTTGAATTGTAGCACTGATTGGGTCTCCGGTGCTCCACCTTCATTCTTATTCATAGCCTACAGTACAGGTAGAACTCGGAACTTGGATATAGTTGGGAGTTCGGATGCGGAAGCTGTTGAGGGCAGCTTGTCAAAAGAATAGGAGCTGATTATGGAGATGATATTCGGCAAGCAAAACTGGGAAGCTTTTCAAAATGATTACCATATCAAGATCAACAAGATATGGAAACTCTGGTGCAACGGCTACTGGCGAATTGAGCATAAAAGAGAAGGGAATTGCAAGGATTGAACACTTTTTCGGAGATCAATTTCACGGGAGAACAAAGGAGTTTTGTTAGGGTGTGATTGATAAGAAAAGAGTTCGAGTACAGTACTGGAGAGTGGGTGTACTTGAGGGAAGCTGGATAGCTTGAGAGTGTGTAGATTAGAATACGATCAGTCGACCTGGATAGGAAGAGTGATCTCGACCTCTCTGTTTCGGAGCTACAAACAAAATCCTAGTGAATTGTCGGAAATCACAAAGCGTGATTATCCGTCCGTGGAGTAGTCAGTATTGGGAACATCTTTAACCCAATACTGGAAACCACGTAAAAGGTTCTGTGTTCTTCGATTCTGCAATATTCTGTTTGTGGCTTTACTGGTCTTGTGTTCTGAAGAATTGAGAAGAACTCCAGGTACAGGGGAACGAGTTACACGGCTGAGTCAACCTCGGTTCAACCAATAAACAAAACGCATCACTTTGTTAATTAAGGCTCAGTCGAGTAAAAAACTGAGTGGGCTTGAGGGTCAGGCCCATCGTTGTTCTTTGTTTTATTAACTGACGAAAGATTGAGTTGTCCAATTTGGTTTCTGGTTCTACTCTCTATCTCTTGTTTCTCACCTGTTCTACCAAAAGTTCGAGTTAGGGTTTCAGGTCAAGAAAGAAAGAAGACCATCTGCCGCGTAGGCATCTCGCGCTCGACGCCAACACGTGGTATCAGAGCTGGTCGCCGGTCAAGGAAGGTTTTACAGCCTTAGGCGAAATCCAGGATGGCGTCAGGATCTTCAAGTGCAGCTCCTCTCTATCTGGCCGATGGGTTCTCTCAAAATCGACCACCGAGGTTCGAAGGGGTAAATTACGGCTACTGGAAGAACCGGATGGAATTGTTCGTGGGGTCGACAGATCCCAAGCTGTGGGCAAGAGTAATCAAAGGTCCATATGAGCTCAAGGCAGATCAAGAAAAGTGGAATGATGAAGACTACGAGAAATTTCAACAAAATTGCAAAGCCACCAATTTGATGTACTGCGCTCTCGGGCCTGAAGAATACCACAAGGTAGCTGGGTGCAAAACGGCCAAAGAAATATGGGATAAGCTACAAGTGACTTATGAAGGTACGTCCCAAGTCAAGACCTCCAGGATAAACTCGCTCAAGCACCAATTCGAGTTGTTTAAGATGGAGGAAGGGGAAACTATTCGACAGATATACGAGAGGTTTACTAACATAGTAAACAGTCTGGAAAATCTTGGCAAAACCTACGAGAGTGGAGATTTAGTAAGGAAAATATTGTGGTGCTTACCAGAAAAATGGACTCCCAAGGTTACAGCTATTGAGGAAGCCAAAGACTTGGAGAAGCTAGCAATTGATGAATTGATCGGATCCCTGACCACACATGAAGACAAGTTGATGAAGGTTGGATCAGAAAAGGAGCCAACTGAAAAGGGAAAAAGAGGAATTGCTTTCAAGGCAATCAGTTCTGTGGAAGAATCAGAAGAACTGGATGATATGGAGGATGAGGAACTAGCTCTGCTTAGCAAGCAGATTAGTCGACTGATCAGGATTAGGAAAGAAAAGAGGATGGGTGGATCGAAGGCCAAAGAATCAGACAGAACTGAAGGAGTTACGAAGTTGGGACAGTCAAGGTCACTCTCTAAAGGAAGAAATGAAAATCCACAAAGCCTCAGAGGGATTAACTCAACTGGGTGCTTCAAATGTGGGAGAACGGGTCATATTAAAGCAGAGTGTCCCCTACTCAAAAAGGACAAAGCCTTCACTGCTACTTGGAGTGGGAGTGAAGATGAAGGAGATGATGATGATGAAGTGACTATACATAGGTCATATATGGCCATTGCAGAAGGAGTTGAAGAAGAAAGTGAAACTGCTTCTGCAGACAAGTTATCTCAGGTAAGTAACTCTAAACTTGATGATGTGTCTGATATAAACTATGATAGTGAAGATGAAATGTTAAATCAAACAATTAGAGAAATTCAGTCAGAATTTGATAATGTCAAGGTTAAATATCATAATTTGAAGAAAGAAAATGAACTGAACCTCTCGAAAATTCTTGTTCTGGAAAAACAGTTGGCTGAGTTTGAAGCTAATGAATTAGAAAACTCCAGGTTGCTAGTTCTTACTCAAAAAGAAAATGGATGTCTTCAGAAAGAAAACCTAGAACTAAAAAACCAGATTCATAGACTTACAATTCAACATGGGGGAGTTAATCACGCTAGAACTGGTAAACAGAATGGTTTAAATCTAGAATGCTTCTATTGTCATAAGAAAGGTCATCTTATTAGAAATTGTAAAAGAAGAATGTGGTCAGAAACTAAAAAGAGCACTGTGGTGAACAGAAACTTGTATTACTGGAATGATCATTCAAAACAAAAATCCAAGCTGGTCTGGGTTAGAAAAACAACGTAAGATTGTGTGTTTGCAGAGATGTCTTCAAGTGAGCATGGAGACATCCACCTGGATCATGGACAGTGGGTGCTCACATCATATGACGGGTAACAAGTATCTCTTCTCTAAACTTAAGTTAGGTAACTTTGTTAAAGTATATTTTGGTGATAATAACTCTGCTAATGTTATTGGAAAAGGTCAGGTTGGAGTATGTCCTTCTATTAACAATGTCATGCTAGTAAATGGTCTAAAACACAATTTAATGTCAATTAGTCAAATGTGTGGGAAGGATTGCAGAGTTGTGTTTGAACCCACCTTTTGTCATGTTGAGAACATGTTAACTAATCGAATTCTGTTTACTGGAAAACGTAATGGTAAGATATATACAATTGACCTAAATGATAAGGACAGCTTCAATGAAACATGTTTGATAAGTCTTGATAAAAATTTGCAAGAAGATTGGCATAGACGTTTAGGTCATGTAAATGTCAGAACCCTGTCCAAACTAGCTAGATTGAATTTGGTTAAAGGACTGCCTAATCTAAATGAGAAAAGAGATTTCTTTTGTGATGCTTGTGCAAGGGGTAAGCAAACCAGATCTAGTTTTAAAAGCAAGAATATTATTTCTACTGTTAGACCTCTGGAATTGCTTCACTTAGACCTATTTGGACCCACTAATGTGACTAGTTATGGAGGAAAATCCTATGCTTTTGTGGTAGTGGATGATTTCTCCAGATTTACTTGGGTTTTGTTTCTGAGTAAAAAGGATGAAGCTTTTGAGTTGTTTAAGAATCTGGTCAAAAGAATTGAAAATGAAACTGGGTCGAAAGTTTACAGTATTCGAAGTGATCATGGGGGAGAATTTTCTTCTGATCCATTTGAAGATTACTGTAATGAGCTAGGGATTTTTCATAATTTCTTAGCTCCTAGAACCCCTCAGCAAAATGGGGTGGTGGAGAGGAAAAATAGGACTCTAATTGACATTGCTCGTACTATGTTGCATGATTATGGAGTTCCTAAATATTTTTGGGCTGAAGCCATTAACACTGCATGTTATGTCATCAACAGAGCATTGATTAGAGCTGGTCTTAATAAAACTCCCTATGAAATTTGGAAGGGAAGGAAACCAAATCTAAGTTATTTTCGAACCTTTGGATGCAAATGCTTTGTCCTAAATTCTAAAGATAACTTAGGAAAATTTGATGCTAAGTCAGATGAGGCAGTGTTCCTAGGGTATTCAAGCTCCAGCAAAGCTTACAGAGTCTTTAATAAACGGACCCTCAAGGTTGAGGAGTCCATTAATGTGTTATTTGATGAGACTGTCATTGAGATTTCAGATGAGATAGATGATGACGACTTTGGTCTTGGGAGGCAAGTTGTGTTACAAGATGACCAGACTAAGCAGGCTGATAGAGAAAATGATCGAGGGAAGATAGATCAGAGTCAACAATCAGAAGCTGATGTAAATCAGGAACCTAAGGAGTCAGTACCAGAAATTGATGAAAATCTGGGTTCGAATGAGTTTCATCCCCCAGCGTACATCTCTAAAAGACATCCTCCTACTCAGGTAATTGGACCAATGGACAAAGGTATGGTTACTAGATCAAAAGCTCTCTCTTCACATATAGCTTTTGTTTCTCAAATTGAACCTAGAAATGTTGAGGAAGCTTTGCTTGATGAATTTTGGACAGCGGCTATGTTTGATGAAATGCATCAGTTTGAAAGAGCAAATGTTTGGGAACTTGTCCCAAAACCTGAAAATAGAGTCATCATAGGGACTAAATGGATATATAAGAATAAAACTGATGAAGTGGGAATCATAACCAGAAATCGAGCCAGATTAGTTGCCCAAGGGTATAGTCAGGAAGAAGGGATTGACTTTGATGAAACGTTTGCTCCTGTGGCTCGATTAGAAGCAGTTAGAATGTTGTGTGCATTTGCTAGTTCTAACAAATTTAAATTGTATCAAATGGATGTCAAAAGTGCTTTTTTGAATGGGGATTTGAAAGAAGAAGTATATGTGTCACAACCACCTGGTTTTGAAGATCATCTCTACCCTAATCATGTGTATAAACTTAAAAAGGCACTTTATGGATTAAAACAGGCACCTAGAGCTTGTTATGACAAATTAAGCTCACTTCTCTTAGTTAATGGTTTTCAGAGAGGAGCAGTTGATAAAACACTCTTTACTAAACGAGAGTCTGAACACTTACTTTTGGTTCAAGTATATGTAGATGACGTTATCTTTGGTGGAACCAGTAAAGACATGTGTCTTGCTTTTGAAGAATTAATGAAAACCAACTTTGAAATGAGTCT